CTTGTAATTTCTTCCTTGCAGGTTTTGATCCTCATCATCTTGGTATCAGAGCTCAGAATGGGAGATACAAGTAACCGGGTGGCTTCCAGGGAAGATCACAGCCTTGAAGCTCTATGGTCGGAGCACCGCCAACTGGTAAGGAAGACTGAAGATATCGGCAACAATCTGGAAAGATTGTTCGGAGAAATGCGCCGGGAATTGAGGTTGATTAACGCTTGTCTTGATCGGAATACACACGCTCGAACGGCAGCTCCGGCGATCATACCGGCAGCGAGACGGGAGCCCGCGACGGACAGAGAGCGTCGACAAGAAATTCCAAGGCCAGTGGATTCAGAATCTGAAACTGATTTGCGGCATTTCAATTCAGGCGAACTCACTGATTCGGAAGAAGAACCTGTGATGAATCGAAGACGTCGCCCGAACATCAGAGATCAGTATCATGGTGAATTTCGGGTTAAATTAGATATACCCTTTTTTGAGGGCAAATTGCATTTAGAGGATTTCTTGGATTGGGAGAGGGCTGTGGAGACTTTTTTTGAGTATATGGAGATTGAGCCCGAGAAACAAGTAAAATATGTGGCTTGCCGACTCAAGGGCGGAGCCGGTGCTTGGTGGCAGCAAGTCAATCAGTCCAGGAGAAGGGAAGGAAAGGGTAATGTGCGGAGTTGGCATCGTATGAAACAACTATTACGAGGTCAATTCTTACTAAGAGATTTTGAACAAATGTTGTATATGCAATACCAACACTGCTCGCAAGATTCCCGATCGGTGAATGATTATACTGAAGAATTCTATCGGTTGAGCGCGCGAAATAACCTCAATGAATCAGACAATCAATTGGTTGCAAGGTATATCGGCGGATTGAAAGAATCAATTCAAGATAGGCTTGAATTGAATTCGGTTTGGTCATTGTCACAAGCCGTTAATTATGCCCTCAAGGTGGAGAATCAATGGAAAAGACAGTCACAGAATCGGCCATTCAGAAGGAATTTTGATTTGTCAGCTGACAACAATCGATTGAATTCTCAAAGTGTTTTCGACAATAGCAAAACAGTGACGGGTCCAATTACCACAAATGCAGCCTCCGGCAGTGGGAAGAAACTGATAGATCCCATGGAAATTCAGAAGGGTAAAGGCCCTGTGAGAGAGAACCCGTATGCTAAGCCTTCGGGTATCAAATGTTTTAGATGTTTTCAAGTGGGCCACAAATCCAATGAATGTCCGACTCGGGCACAGATTCATGTGTTGGAAGGCGAAGAAGACGAGGACATAGAAGAGGACAGTGGAGAGGCAGATGCCGAGGCGGAAGATGTAAGAGGCGATGAAGGGGAACCTTTGGTTTGTGTGCTACAAAAATTACTTATTGCTCCGAGACGACCCGTCCGAACTCAACGCAATGCGTTGTTCAAAACTAAATGCACAATCAAGGGTAAGGTTTGTGACTTACTCGTGGACAGCGGTTGCACCGAGAATGTCATTTCTCGTGCTGTAGTTCAGGCATTACAACTTAAAACGTCACCCAATCCCAATCCGTATAAAATCAGTTGGGTGCGGCGAGGAATAGAGATTGCGGTGACTGATATGTGCAAAGTATCTTTGTCCATTGGCCGCCATTACGTAAGTGAAGTTCTATGTGACGTAGTGGACATGGATGTGTGCCATTTGATTCTGGGAAGACCGTGGCAATTCGATGTGGGAGCAGTGTATGATTGCCGCGCAAATACTTATGCATTCGAGTGGAAAGGCAAGAAGTTGAGACTTCTACCGCAGTCTCTGGAACAAGAAAACAGCATACACAGTGGCAAGACCGCCCTATTTGCTGTTACTCACAAAGCCCTGCTTAATGCTTGGAAGGAATCCGAATGTATTCTGGCTTTAGTCGTCTCTGAGCAAAACAACACCATTGAGTCACAAAACTTACCGAGCCGCCTCAAGCAATTATTACGAGAATATGCAGATATTGCACCGGCCGAATTGCCATCTGAATTACCGCCTGTTAGAACCATTCAACATCAGATTGAACTGACTCCGGGAGCATCATTGCCTAATCTGCCGCACTATCGAATGAGCCCGAACGAGCACAAGACGTTACAGCAGATTGTTGATGAGTTGCTAGATAAACAGCTAATCCAACACATCCTCAGTCCTTGTGCTGTACCTGCTCTGTTAGTGCCCAAGAAAGATGGCAGTTGGAGGATGTGTATTGACAGCCGCTCTATAAATAAGATCACGGTTAAGTTCCGTTTTCCAATGCCGCGAATGGAAGATATGCTGGATAAATTGGTAGGAGCTCAGATTTTCTCCAAATTAGATTTGCGCAGTGGCTATCATCAAATACGGATTCGGCCGGGAGACGAGTGGAAAACAGCTTTTAAAACTCGCCAAGGCTTATATGAATGGCGAGTCATGCCATTTGGGTTGTGCAATGCTCCGGCGACATTTATGAGGTTAATGAATGAAGTTTTAAAACCATTCTTAAATAAATGTTGTGTCGTATACTTTGACGACATATTAGTGTTCAGCTTGACACTAGAAGATCACCTGAAGCATTTAACATCAATTTTTGAGGCCCTACGACACAACAAGTTATACTTGAATACTGTTAAATGCGAGTTTGCAACGCCTCAAGTCGCATTTCTTGGGTTTCTAATTTCGGCTGCCGGAGTGGAGGTGGATCCTCGGAAGATCAGTGCTATTCGTGATTGGCCGGAACCTCGCAGTTTTTTTTGATATACGCAGTTTCCATGGATTGGCGAATTTCTACCGCCGGTTCATTAGAGGGTTCAGCGTAATCATGGCCCCAATCTCCGATGTTCTCAAGCAATCGCAATTCGCCTGGACGGACGAACAACATAAGAGTTTCGATCGGATCAAAGCAGCATTAACTAATGCACCCGTCTTGGCATTACCCGATTTCGACAAGCCTTTCATGGTCGATACAGATGCTTCGATAGTGGGAATTGGTGCAGTTCTATCTCAAGACAACAAACCGATCGAGTTTTTCAGTGAGAAGTTAAGCCCGTCTAGACAGAAATGGACTGTATATGAGCAGGAGCTATACGCGGTTGTCCGAGCATTGAAACAATGGGAACACTATTTGCTACATCAAGACTTCATTCTTCGTAGTGATCACAAGGCCCTTCAGTATATCAACACACAGAAAAACATTAACCGGATGCACGCTCGTTCTTTATATTTCTGCAGAAATTTACTTTTGTGTTACAACACAAAAGTGGAAATCAAAATCGGGTAGCAGATGCTCTAAGCCGGCGGGTTGTTCTTTTAACCCAACTACAAACCAAATTTTCAGGATTGGAATGCATAAAAGAGTTATATTCCACGGATGATTATTTCAATGCTATATGGTCCAAATGCAAGAATAAGGAGCCGGTTGCTGACTACTCCATACGGGAAGGATTTTTATTTAAAAGGGGCTTATTGTGCATACCGAAAGCCTCTTGGCAGCATGTCATCATACAGGAGGCACATGCGGGTGAGTTGGCAGCCCATATGGGGCGTGATAACACTATTGCACAATTACAAACCCGATTCTTTTGGCCACATTGTTGACTAAAAAAAAATCGAAGCAGCATACCTGTATCTAAATTCGGCCCCACCTCATACAATTCTCTCCCAAACGAAGCAATTATTCGTTCCAAAATAAGATAACCGCACAATGCATCTTTCAATAGGAGAGCCACGAGCAGTTATATATATATATATATAAGAAAAAAAAACTCTTTGAGGGGCTCATCTCTCGGTATCGCAGAGAAAGAGGAGAAGAAAACCCTCAAATTCCTCCGCTCTCTTCGGTTGGTTCGCCCGCATCTGATGCCACCGAGCCCGGCGACCCAACCTCTCCCCATCTTCGCCTCCAACGCCCAACCCGCGTCCGACGTCGCCAATCCCGTCGACGTTCGGCTTCGATTCGGCTCCCCGGCACTGTTCGACGTCGCTTCTTCGCTCCCTGTTGTTGACCTCGATTTCGGATCGAGTGTGCTCGAGCTCGTTCAGTCGATCTAATTGAACCCCGTCGGGTCTGATCCGAGCTCAAATCGACCCGCCTCGAGCCGGATCAGACTCGAATGTGTTCAATTATACTCGATTAGTTTGTTTTCATCGTGTCGTACTTAATTGGATTTAAATCGATGCTTATTTTGAATTTAATTTTGTTCAATTAAATTCGTCGCGCCGGCTTGAAGCAAAATTGACTCGAATCGAGTCGAAATTGGACTCGAGCTCGACCCAATCTTAGCCCATTTTAATTTGATTTAGCCCTGTTTGACACCATTAAAATCCATTTGACTTTTTTTTTATGTTTTGAATCTACTTCCTAAATCGAGAAATCATCTCGACGGCTACGATCGAACAAGATCGTTGCTTCGGCTAAAATCTCGCTCCTCAGTTGATTTTCAGTATCTCGGACAGGCGTTGAGCAGAGAGCGAAGCTGCGAAAGGAAACTTCGGAGGCTGGAGTTTGACGAGGCGATTTGGCGGGCTTCCTCTTGCGGCAACGAACTTAATTTACTCGGAGCGAAGCTTTCAATGAAAAAAAAAAAAAAAAACTCTCGCCCACGCCTGGTCTCACAGAGTTCTTTGTTCGCAAGGGCCTAAGCTCTCTCTGGCTCTCCAGTTCTCACGCCCGACTTCCCCTCCCAATTTCTCCTTCCGTTCGCAGAAGGAGTCGAGCCGACCCCTCCCGATTTCTCCTTCCGTTCGCAGGAGTCGAGCCGAACCCCAGTTCTCGCCTTCCCAGCTCTCAGTTCCGAACCTCCCAGACGAGATCCGCTCGTCTCCCTGTTGTTCGGATCGAACCGAGAGGCAGCGCCTCCTCTTGCTCTCAGCTCAGCACACCCGAACCAAGCCCGACGCCACCTGGACTGAACGTGGCCGCTAGATCCTGTCTTGGCCGACCGATTTTTCTTCAAGCAGCAAGTAAGCTCCTCTCCCTTCTCCTTCTTTTAGCTTTCCTCTCGTTCTCTTTCTTCTTCCTCCTCTTCTTCTTCTTCTTTTTCTTCATTTTTCTTTGTTTTTTTTCTGAAACGTTTCCTTTGCTTTTCTTCACCTCAACTTGAGTCTTGTGGATGGTTAGGTTAACGAGAAGCTTCACTCATGCAAAGTTCATTTTACCTAATTAAAGTTGAAAATATGGATATAAGTTTCATGTTATATTTGTTCCATGGATGTCTAAGTGAATGCCTCTCATTCTCACGTCTCCATTCCCTTCCTCCCTATTCCTTTGTATAAGCTTACTGTGGCAGATTTTCTTAAAAAATTTCTATAGGGATATGACATACCAAGTGCTTTGTGTAGAATATGCTTGATTCCTAAGAGACTTGATATGTTCTGTAAAAAAAAAAAAAAAATCGGTTTTGGTCATCCCTATAATAATGCTACTTTTTGATACCGTATTCAATCAAGTGCCTTAAAAAAAATGCGATGCTCCTGAAAACCTGTGGTAACAAATTTATTAGAAACTATGTTAAAGCTGATCCTGATTTGGGTTGTTGGCTTTCATACACTTGTACCCAAGGTGGAGTCATGTTCATTAACTACTTCAAAGGCTTGGGCAATAACCGTGGATTATCTTTTTGTCACACATCATTTAATTGCAGAGAACTCATCTTCCACGACGAAGCCTTTTGAGAGAAATATAGCCATATCTATTTGATTTGATATAGCCTGTTAAATGTCAGATTTCGTTACTAGTTAATCTTTGCATCATGTGGAAAAGCTTAAGTGGACACATACACACATGTTTAGCACCAAACCTAAGCCATTACTCATGTATTTCATTGTTCAAATTATGCATGTTAGTTGTTTGATGAAATGCCACTAAGAGAGGTTTGTGAATTTGTTTCAAGCCAATACAATGATACATGCTTTTATATTGGGTGGTTTGTTTGGAATATCATAAAATTTGAGAGATTGTTATTAGTCTTGTTTGTTTGA